TGAATTTGGCGCTATATAAATAAACTGAATTGAATTGAATTGAATTAAAAAAATCAAAGCAAACATTTCTTTTTTTCCAGGTGCAAAGAATCCAACACCAGAGGAGAACAATAATCTGAAAATGAAACTTTGATCAAAAAACAGAATAGAGGATAGCAGAGCTACTCCAGTATGCAGCCACTTTGGGAAATGCTGTAGAATGCAACCATTGTCTGACAAAATTATTAAAAATATGAAATTAGACAATAAATTCTTCTCAATTTAGTGTAATTTCACAGGATTTTCACACCTGTGAAAATGAAATACAAGACAAGTTTGGTGGAGCACTCTGAACTGGATTCATCACATTTATTAGGAGTGCTGGTTTGCTTTGGAGCATTTCTTGCCTTTCACTTTGACCTACATCAGTTCCTTGAATCGGGAAGTTTGAATTCGAAACTTCTTTGTGAAAAATGTTATCTGGATCTCAATCAAATGTAGGGAGTGTCAACACTAACTTTGACCTAATTATAAACAGTAAGTTAGAATATCTAGCCTGAAACAAAGTCACAGCTGAAGCCATAGTTTCATTTAATTTATCAATCTTTGTTGGTCTTTATAAATGTTGCTGTTGTGTCAGAAAATATTTGCATGTATGACTGTAAAATGTGTCATCAGCTTGCAATGGGTTGTTATCAGAATATGTAATGGCCGTTAGTTCCAGCTGCAAGTTTTCGGGTAAACGGATCGGAGCATTAGAGGGAATGTTATCTCTGAACCACACCTCTTCCTCCTCTTATTCTGTATTATCTGCCCCCAGATCCCATTGGTGAGTCAGTGGAAAGCCAAACACACAACCTAACTCTTCCGAGTGGACTGTTAGGATTCAAAATGTTTGAAAGAACGACCACACATCAAGACTGTGTGCCAAACAGCAGCTGAGTGATTACTGTGGGTGTGACCATGCTTCAATCTGCACGCTTCTTTCTTGCTCCAGTAAACATCACATGTGCCAGAGAAACACTCAGCCGTTGCTCATTTCCACCTCTTTCATTCCATTTTTAGACTGACCACTTTTTGCTCACAAAATCTTGATAAGCCAACTGTATGATCTTATTCCTTAAAACTGTTCCCTGCTTTGCTTCTGTTCAATTCAAATCTGTTTATTATATAGTGCCACCTCAAGACACATTTCAACCAATTCAACCAGATCATAAAGTCTGATTGAGTTTTATATCCTTTTCTCTTTTTTTAACAGTGTAATGTCTTGCAATGTGGCAATAAAAGTAATTGTCTTGATGCCAAAAAAACAACAGATTTATCACCATAGTGTTCCGCTTGATTTATGAATATAAATAGCTTTATTATAATTCATACAGGGAGTATTACAGATTATATAGACACTGCGATGTAAGTAGATCAGGAAATGAAGCACCGAGCCAGAGCACCGAGGCGAGCTCCGGGGGACCCAAAAACCCAGATGCACAGAGGGATTTCCAGAGCAAAGGTGCCCAAGAGGGGCCAACCCAGACCCCCACCAAGAAAAGAGGAGAGACGCCAGCCACCGCAATGCCAAAGCCCCCAGGAGCCGCAGGGACAAGCCCGCGGGCTCCGCCGGCAGCCAGTCTTCTAAGGAAAAACAAGTTGATTGCATCGACTCATTATCTCAATCCCTCACACTAAGCATAGTTGAGGCGACAGTGGAGAGGAAAACTCTCTTTTAACAGGAAGAAGTCCGGTAGAACCAGACTCAGTGTGAGCTGCCATCTTCCAAGGCTCGCTGGGGTTCAAGGAGAGAGAAGCAGAGATAGAAAAGGAAAGTATAAAAGGCGGCCCCATCCAGGAAACACACAACCAGGCAGACGAGCTCTGAGCCAGCTCCCATGTCAGAGGATGAAGAGAGCACATACAGATACTCATAGTGAGAGAAACAGGACAGCACTGATACACAGAGGCCCTTTCCACGAAGCGAGCTCAACATAGTGGGATTACTTCTAGTCTATCTAATTAAACCAATCCACAAAAATGGTAAAAAGGATAACCGACACACTGGTCCAGCAGACGAGCTCCTTCAGTAGAAGACTCCTCCTACCCAGATGCACCACAGAGTGCCACAGAAAATCATTTCTACCCGTGGCCATCAATCTCTATAACGCCTCCCTCAATCTTTAACATCTTGTGTAGTTGGATGTGTGTGTGTGTGTAT